CTAGGATGATACGCTTAATAACGACTGCCTTAAACAGGATGCTATAATTAGAGTTTTTGTTTTTAACTAATCGTCAGGCCGATTTATGGATCGTCCTAGACGATGTGATCAAAAATAGTAAACTCTAAAAATAGTCAGAAATTTTCTCCCAAGTATGTGTGTGCAAGGTTACTTAGCATCAAGAACCACTTTGTTTATAATTGACTCAAAAAAAGGAAAAGATTACAAACTGACTCAGACCTAGTCTACTCAATCTTGAGCTTGTTCAAATTACAGTTTTGATCTTATGGACCCGAAAAGTTAGTAGGAAAGATAGACGTAGAGAAACACAAGTGTTTGCTCAAATCAGATTCGCAACACTTGTGAATCCACTAACTCAATATGAAGGCGATCCATTTGTTGATTTGTAAAGAGGCTAAAGTGGCCATAATAGCCAATTTTCTCTTCACTCTATTAGCTGCTCCTCCACTACCTTTATCTCCTTAATTTTGTCATCATACTTCTTCTTATACTCTCCTTGAAAGTACTTAACCTTCATAAACTATTTATTCTAGTCATTTAATTTCTTGGTCAATTCAATGTAAAGATCCATGCATTGTAGCATCTAAAATAATAAGGAACGATTTATAAGGGGTATAACCATATAAATATGTAAAAAGAAAAAAAAGAAAGAAAATGGAAATTCATAAATTCCTCAGCTCATCGATATCCAACATATTGATGTTTCAAAACATCTTCTAAAATGTGTGACTTGGATGGGGAGACATGATGACTTTTACTAGTAACTTTCAAAATCTCCTCCACCTTTTTTTTTTGGATTCATATGGATCACCCCCATTCTCTAATTATTTAGGAATAACCTTTGATTTTTAGACAACTACCTTTGGGACTTTGGTTGACTTCTTTAGCATATGTGCATAAGATCTCCCTGCCTGAGTAGATAGTCCCATCTTAAGCAAATACTCTTCATCTACATATCTATTTAAATAGTATATATTATAGTGAAGGGTGTCAACATCAGAAAAGTTGAGCATCTTTAGTAAATCTTCTTCTCTAACATGAAGGGGGATAGGTAACTCCTTCAACTTCCCCCATTTCTCTAACAAATTCCAACCATTTTGCATAAATAATAAACCACTAACTAGCTCTTTGACGGGTCTTGAGTGTGAACATCCATCCACTTAGATCTAAAAAGATATGACCCGACATATCGCAAGTAAGTTGACCCATCCAAGAAAGACACTCTGGAGATAACACCTTCCCACGATCTCTGAAAAATACTATCAACTCCATTGTAATTGACATGGATCTATAAGAAAGTTGGGACAAACTCACTCCACCTATTGTTGAAATTGTAAATCAACTTCAGGAGAGGGGTAAATCGTAACCCTACTCGCAAATTAAACTCATACACAATCAAAAATCAAGGAGGAGGAAAACATAAATGATATGATTTTTTAAGATCCTTCATAACAGGATCATTGGGGAAGTGAAAGTTCTTCCTAAAATGATCAAGTAGTCGCTGGTTATGTTGGAGGTGACATCATTATCCTTTGCCACCTTCTGAGCCTTCTTCAAACCATGATGTTGAGCAGCAAGATGATCTCCTTCAACTAGGGAAATTTTGGTTGAGGTGTGGCCACACATTTCAACTTCTACACTAATAAGGGGCACTAAATTTGAGTAGGAGATACCACCTACTGAAAATAATGGAAAGTCTCTAAAGTAAGAAGAAAAATGGGGGAGAAAGAAAAGAGAAGGCTAAAAAATTCTAACTTCCACATAGGAGAGTGACACTGAATTTGAGTAGGAGATGCCACCAAACAAAAATAATAAAAAGCTTCAATTATAAGAAAGCTAGAGGGAGAAGGTAAAAGGAAAGGAGCAATTAATCCCTAGCCTAGGGGGGTATTTATGGGATGAAATTGGGTGGGGGTGTTGATTTTGAGAATGAGGGGGAAAGAGGCTTATGGAAAATTTTTAAAAATTAAAAAAAAATTCTAAATTTTTTAAAATTTAAAGTCTCCATTTATGTTATTTTTGGATTTAAAAAAAAAATATTTTAGAGGCGGGCAGCGGCTCAGTGTTGCCCGCAAAAATAAAAAAAATTTATGAGGCCCAATTATATATATATAGACACACACACACACACACACACACACACACACACACACACACACACACACACACACACACACATAATATGATTTTATTATTGCAGCCGGTCGAAATCGGATGTTCAAAACCATACGCCACAAGGGGCACGCCCTTTCATCGCTGGCATCCAAATCGTGTTTTGGTCCATTTTTGGCTAGGGCAGTCCAAATTGGATATTTTTGAGGTCCTCAAAATCATTTCTTGACATTCTGGATCTGATTTTGACACTTTCGGAGCAAGACGGAGCTTCTGTGATCAAATATTTAGCAATTTTAAATATTTGGAAATCTATTTTCTAACATTTTATTGAGATTCGAATAATTTGAAATGATGTGACATGTAATTTCAAACTTTTGGAGCTTTAATGTTTGAAAATAGGGGGAAATCGATATATTATCAAAAAATTATCTTGATCATGCACAAATCTTGAGGAAAAATTAAATTGGAAACTTTAAAAATTAAATTTGGGGCCATCTGAACTCTGATTTCAGCAAACTTATAATATAGCTGAACGTCTCGAAAATACGAACTCAATGACACCAAATTTGACTCAACAGAGATAAAATAATTCCAAATCAAAGACCCAAAGCACATTTAGAAGGTTCAAACCATAATTTAGATTACCAAACGGTTTCCAAACGTGACATGCTTATAGTTGAATCGAGTGGCCCGACGAAACGAATCTAACGATCCCAAGATTGCCAAATATGATATCATTAAGGCATTCAATGATCAAGGGAATCAATATCGGCCGTCCATTCAAACCACTCTTAACTTACCCTTGATCTTCCTCCTTTTTGCTAGCCATGCCACTCTTAGAAATTATGCAAGGTGACCTAAGCAAGAAAGAAATGAAGAGAAGGAAGAGTGTTGTCTTGCCGCCAACTCCTCCTCGAATACCGCCGAACTTCCACCAGTCACCGATTGTCGCCTTATTTCTGACCGTCCGTTGACCAATGTCGGACTTCTGCTCGACTGCCGACTAACGCCAAACTTCTGCCCGATCGTCAAGTGAAGCCGGAATTCCGCCTGGCCACCAAACATCGCCGAATTTTTGATCTCCTTTCGTAACTAGATTTCAACCCGACGATTGATTATTGCAATATGATCAATTAACATTTTAGGGACGAGTCAGTCACTTCTAATATAATCAAATCCTTGTGAAATCATTTTAACTGAGCGTGATCCCGTGGTTTTTTTCTTTTCCAAGGGTTTTCACGTAAAAATTATGGTGTTACTTTTTTCTTCTGTTTGTGTGCATGATATCCGTACAAAGTTGAGATAATTTTTTTTTTAACTTTATTGCTGCATACATTTTAGCCCTCAACAAAATTAAAGATGTAATAGTCAGCGGGGAATGAAATCTCCCCACAAACCTTTATAAATGATAACAGTTGTTTCAACTGCAAATTTAAAAAATTTAGTCGCAAATTGTTAAATATATACAGTCCAAGCAAGAAAGATAAGAGCCCTAAACCATGCAACGCGACTTCTTGTGGTTCAGAAATGACATTTACAAGGATAGGATAGGATGCTATCCACCCCTCGAAATTCGAATCATGGCTATTATCTTCCGAGCCCATTATCCACCACATTCGGCCTTCAAATCCCGCAAAGTCTCCACTCGCTTTCCCGCCGCCAATTTCTTCTCTACCACCATCAAGGTTTGAGCTCTTCACATCAATCGACTCCTCTATTCATTCCCTGCTCTTATTTTCCAAATTCACTACTTCAATTCCTGTAACAGATGGAAGGAACGAGTGCCACTGCAGAAGAAACCAAGGAGCAGAAACCGAGCAAGATCTTCGTCGCGGGTTCCACGGGAAAGACGGGAAAGAGGATTGTCGAGCAGCTTCTCTCAAAAAGTTATGGGGTTAGGGCGGGGGCGCGCGATGTAGAGAAGGCCAAAAGCAGCCTTCCCCAACACCCTAATCTACAAATCGTTTGTACCATTGTTTTACATTGGCTTTGATTTCTAGTTTGGATTTCTCGCTTTGATGTTTTCCTTTTTCTTACCATGTTTCTGATGTTGGTAAGGTGAGGGCTGATGTAACCGAGGGCTCGGAAAAGTTAGCGGAAGCGATTGGGGATGCGGAAGCTGTGGTTTGCGCCACGGGTTTTCAACCTTCGTTCGATGTGTTCGCGCCATGGAAGGTTGTTGATGAACTTAAACGCTATTTTTGATCAATTTTCGTTACATAAATGTCGATTATGGATGTTATAAGATTCCATCTTCGTAATTTACTGAAGGGTGGGATTAAATAAAGGTAATTCCTCGAAACATGAGCTCGAATGATCAAACAGAAATGTTAACTAATCTGACCGCTGGTGTAATGCGAACAAGAGGGAAAGGGAAATGGTTATTGGAAGAGGGAGCTGAGTGGAAAGAGAAGAGTAAGAAAGATACGAAGAGAATTAGGAAAAAAATAAAGAAGAAATATAGAATGATTATAGTCAATTAATAAAGTTATCCTTCAATACATGATCATAACCCCTTTATTGACTTAGGCCTTCTAATACGTACCAAAAATACTATAGATTAATATGATAAGGTGATAAGGTATCATTTGTCCCTACTATATAGTTATAACATGAAATATAAGAAAACTAAATTTGACAAGCCTGTAAACTAATATGAGAATGAATCCTTAGGGCAATAATTGTATTACATTATTTAACATAACCTAAAAAGAAATCTTCTTAGAAATGTTAGAAGCTGTCCATAGTGGTTGTGGAGCTGGAATTGGTTTGTGCCCAACTTCGTAATTCACAGGTGAGAACACAATTAGCAAAAATAAGACATTCAAATGTTTTACTGGTGGCCATGGAAAAGCATCCAGTAAATTCAATCAACTCTAATCATGTTTTAGTAAATAGTAGTGGTATTATTACACACTAAAAGGCAAATTGAGTAAGGGTAAGGGCCAGAGTGCCAAGATAAGTGCGGTCATTTAGAAACAATTTTTGATTTGATATGAAGTATGTAAGCATGGGGCATCCGTTTTATGATGGAAGTTAAAATACAAACTTAACATCAATGGATGATATTGGAGATGTAAGTATTACTACAAATGGTGGGTCATCCTCTGATGACATATGAAATCCAAACTAGTAGTATTACTACAGGGTGGGTCAAACTCAATCTTGGAGGTTTAGGCTTAAATTTTGGTATGTTTTAGTCAGGGGATTAAGTTTAGTTTGTTCAGAAACATTTTCATCATCTATCACATCTATGAAATATTTTTTTAATCGAGAAAGATCATGAATGCGCAAATTCCTATGTATTTTTTTATTGTGATCTTTAAATGCTTTCCGTACATTTGCTAATCTAAGCATTGCCATACATTTTACAATTGAAGGTTTTCCTTTTTGAAGCCATTGATGACAATACTAAACATTCTTCATGAATTGGTTGTTGTAAGGGTAGTGGTGAGGCATGGATAAATTGAGATTGGATGCGGCGAGTGGGGGTGGTTAGAGAGGGGTAAGGATGCATATGTATCTTTTGTGGTGCACTGCTAGAATTTGGATGCTTTGTGAATGGATGTTGAAGTGTGTGCATTTGGTTGGTTAAGATTGTAACCATGAGGGTTGAGCTTATTGTTGATTCTTTATAGGTTGTTAAGCCTAATCTAAGCATTGCCATACATTTTACAATTGAAGGTTTTCCTTTTTGAAGCCATTGATGACAATACTAAACATTCTTCATGAATTGGTTGTTGTAAGGGTAGTGGTGAGGCATGGATAAATTGAGATTGGATGCGGCGAGTGGGGGTGGTTAGAGAGGGGTAAGGATGCATATGTATCTTTTGTGGTGCACTGCTAGAATTTGGATGCTTTGTGAATGGATGTTGAAGTGTGTGCATTTGGTTGGTTAAGATTGTAACCATGAGGGTTGAGCTTATTGTTGATTCTTTATAGGTTGTTAAGCCTAAGCTATTGTCCCAAGGCTAACCAAGAGGGGTAGGGGGGGGGGTGAATTGGTAATTTAAAAAATTTCTCTTGGATTTTTAATAGAAAACTGTTCTGAATCTTGTAGTAAGTTAATTTAAGTTTTAAAATAAACTTTTCAACCATAGTAAATAACTTGCAGTAAATAAATGCGGAAATTAAAACACATAAAAATTTGTAGTGGTTCTGTCAAACGCGACCTACATCCACTCCCTGAAGACTCCCTCTTCAAGTATTGTACTATTACCAATGTGTCTTTTTTTTTTCTCCCACAACAAGGCGGAGAAGCCTTTACAAATCATCTCTTCCACCAATCCCTAGTGCGGTAGAGAATCGTCGTCCTTTCACACTCTTCAAGTTTCGGTAGAGAACCGTCGTCTGTTCACACTCTCCAAGTGTCGACAGAGAACCGTCGTCTATTCACACTCTCCAAGTGTTGCTAGAGTACCGTCGTCTGTTCACACCATCCAAGTGTCGGCAGAGTACCGGATCTTCTTTAAAGATCTTCTCACGAGCAATTAGAAAGACGAACAAAAGAGTAATCACCAAAAACACAAAGAGATCCTTACATTTGAGTAACCTTGTGAACCCTTCACACTCCACTTGCAAGAAATCTCTCTCAAATACTCTCCCACACTCTCTCTTTCCCTTGCTCTTGAAAATTCACGAAAACAAGACTTTTTCACGTCAGTTTAGAGGACCTTTTATATCAAAGATATGAAAAACCGTTCAGAAAACTAAAAATTTTCATTTTGAGCGTACATAATCGTACAGTACGATCGTTTATTCGTACGTACGAACAGTTCAAAAACTGTTGCATACGAACCTTTTGTAAATCGATACGAAATGATTTCGTACACAATGATTGTCCAGTACGAACTCAGTTCGTATTATACGAATAGTTAGAAAATTCTTCATCTTCGTCGGGACGAATAGGGACTCCACAATTTCATACCCTGTATGGCGTACCTACGATGACGACATCGTATGGTACGATCAATTACGAAAATTTTCAAGATCGTCTGGACAAAAAGGGACCCGTCCAATTTGTACCCTGGACGGCGTATGTACGATGACGACATCGTATGGTACGATCCGTTCAGAAAATTTTCAAGTTTGTCTGGATGAAAAGGGACCTGTCCAATTCGTACCCTGGACGGCGTACGCATGATGACGACATCGTACGGTATGAACCGTTTAGAAAAACTTTGAATTCGTCGGGACGAAAAGAGACCATCCAATTCGTATCCTGGGTGGCGTACGTATGAATGGTATATCGTACAGTACGATCCATACTTAGAAAAAATTCTACTTTCTATTCATTTGACTAGTCGTAGGAGAAAATAACTGAACAAATCGTCCCGTACAAAAAGACTTTGTACAGTACAATCAATTTAAAAATTATAGATTTTAAACTCTCCCCTCGGTGTGTGTGTGTACAATTACTCAATTGCAATCACACTCTCTCAAACTCAATAAAATGAAAAATACATACCTCATTTATAATAAACCCTAAACTGATCTGTTTTAAAGTCTTCAACAATCCAGAGTATAATTTCCCTGAAATGTTAGTACACACAAATAACAAAATAATCCATCTAAAATATGTTAGGAGAAATAATAATCAAAGCAATAATATTTGGAATCATAAAAAACATACATCTTGCAAGAATATCAACAATCAAGAACTAAGTTTTAACTATCTCAACACTTAGGGGTGTAAACGAGTTGAGTTAAGTCGAGTTTTGATACTATCGAACTTAGCTCATCAGTCGGAAAGTGTGCTCAAACTCGAGCTCGAGCTCAAAAGTCGAGCTTGAACTCAACTCGTAATACTTTATCGAGCTCAACGAGCCGCTCGCGCCCACCTGCGTCAGTTTCCCGCTTGTTTTTTTTTTTCAATCCGATTCTCACATTTGTGGAGAGCCGACGCAGAACTCGAGCAAAGAAGGCTACGACTTTGCAATGGCCAATGGCGTGAGCTCAAGACCCTGCAACATTTATTAGCATGTCACATCTTTTTAATTATATATATATATATACATACGTGTGTGTATATATATATATATAGAAAATTTAATTGTTTTAGTAATCCCGCCGGTTTTGGCAATGTTTTAAAAGCTACAACATTCATTAGCCTTGGTATTGGAGAATTTGTTTTTTATTATGCGGCTGTAGTTGATATTGGAAAAATTTTAAATATACTAACAGATATTATTAATTAAAAAAATCTAAACGGTTTGAGCCGGCTCAAGCTCGAACTTGAGCTAGTTTACTAAACAAGCTTGCGTTCGAGCTCGAGCTCGACTTGTGAGCTCGATAAGCTCGGCTCACGAGCTTATATATGAGTCGAGCTTGAGCCGGCTTGTGAGTCGGCTCGACTCACTTTCACCCCCTAGTTGAGCTTGGACGGATGCATGAGCTTTAGATTTTTCGCATTTGGTTGCATAGGAAATCACAAAAACTTCAGTTGTATGGAGGGGATTGACGTGGGATGCTACTAACTATTATGAAAAATGTGGTCGATGTTGAAGATAAGGGCAGACAAGATGAGGAATAGTGTTTCATTGGAAGTGGGGCTTGAGGGAAGGTGGAAACCGATGGGGAATGGTTTGTAGATTAAGAGCAAGATTTGTGGTTAGTAGTTAGCAGCTAAGGTTGATTGGTGAGGGATAGTTAATATGGTTCTAGATGCAGTAGTTTGATGAGATCTACATGCTTTTTTTTTATAAAATCTCCAATACCAATTGATGTAATAAGAAGGGGAAATATGTACTGACAGAGGGATGCAAAGGGAGTGAGGACAAGAGGAGGATAAAAAGATTAATAGATAATAGAGAAAGAATAAATATAATAAGCGAAATTCAATTTATTATGTCAATCATATTTTTCTTCAATATTTAACTGGAATTCCTTTCATAGACTTAGGGCTCATAATACGTATAAAAAATTCTCTAAACTAATATGATAAGATTTCATATGTCCATTTTTACATAATTTTAATTGAATTAATAAAAAATATAAAAACTAAATGGACACTTGCCTAGTACTATCAAAAAGACTCCAAATGACTATAGTTGTCTCGTGCCAACTACAAATTATTAGATATTCATGAATGTTTATTAGTTTAGTTATTTTGTAACAAATCACCTAAACTCAGAGGCACAAGCATCTCTTAGAGTGAATATGATGCATTGCAAAAC